TTCACACTGTCCCAGCTTCATGGGGTTATTTATAACTTTTAGTTTTGTTTTGGTAATTTTAGCTTTTTTTCTTTAATTCTGGTTGTTTTAACTTTAATATCAGTTTTTCAGGATTCATACAGTATTTTTGCATAAAATCTCATTTTTCTTGTTTCATTTATTTCCCAAAAGTCTGTTTATTCAGCAGGTGAATTTCAGACAGACATCAGGTCCGATGTAAACTGTGTGCTGTTGTGTTTCAGTAGAAACCTACAGGAAGCTGAGTGAAGATGGCCTGATGAAGCAGCTCTGTCTTAAAGCTGCAGAGCCAGAAGAAATCAGTTTTCAGCTCTCCATCAACTGGACTTCCTGTGTTTCTGTTGAACTMTTCTACCAAAWGTTGCTGTCTGTGTTGTGGACTGTTTCTCTGCTCAGGACTGAGGTGCATCTTGTTTTACTGAAAGTCACAAGGAATCCAGACGAGAGCAGTTCCACACCATAAACACCCAGGAACATTAATCTGTAGCCCTGAAACAAACTTGGACTGYGTCATGCAGCTGGGAGGTGAGAGGACATGATGCCAAGGACCCTTAAAGTGCCTCTGCTGTTAATGGAGTGCCAGAAAAGTTCCGGCCCAACAAGTCACGCCTCACAGCTCCCCGAAACCACAGAGCTTCAGCTGCAGCCACTCCACAGACTTCCTGAGCTCGGCAGGGTGGGATCGAATGCTCGCTCCCCRCTGCAGCAGAATATTTGCCACCTGGGATCTCCCTGAGGCAGCTGGCTGGGCCGGCTGGMCTGGAGGCGGTCGGCCTGTTGGTCTGATAGATGTTGGGGAGTGGGGGGGTCTGAGCACGCCTGCACCTCTTCAGCTGAGGGGACTTTTATTCTCAGCGACAGGTTCCCCCACCCCGCCTCATCTCACGTAGGCTGGAACAGAGAGGCCACGACCTCCAGGTCTGAAATTTAAACTTCTCTAAAAAAAAATCTTGGAAGCAAAAACAGTCATTCAGACACTTTTTTAAAGACTCTGTTGACTTAATGTTGAGTCAGCTGAGATGAAGAAAAACAAGCAGGATTTACTGTTCTGTCACTTCTCCTGCAGGCTGACCACGCTCCTGTCGCTGAGCTTCCTGTGACGCTGGACGGCCTCTAGACTTTAATGATGTTTACACAGCTCGCTCAACTTTTAGTTTGAAGATCAAATTGTAATGAGATTACCATAAATGTACAATGAAAATTGCTTAAATAAAGAAATTGTACCTTTTTAAAACAACAAAATGAAGTGGTACCAAATATAAAATTAAACAACTGAGTTTTCCATCTAATTAGGGTTAATTATTAAAGGGGCAATATCATGTAAAATCAACTTTTTTGAGTTTTATATCATGTTATAATGTTATACTCTGATAAAAAC